ATCCAAAATATATAGTTAATGTGGCTCACTGCCCTATGTTTTTTTAACAGGATAACAACTCTTAAAAGGTATAGACTGCCTTAGAATTATTTGAAGTACGGAGCAAATTGCCTTGAATTTCCTTTTCACTTCAGTATGTTTCCTCTCCCTCAAGTCCTTTTAAAAGTGATATAGTCCTATGCATTTATGATGGCATATATTTGTTTCATCTACTCCTTGAAATCAGAAAATGCCACAGAATTATATTGTGGTTACCCTTGACCTTCATTTGTGTTTGAACATTAGTGTCCTTTATTAATTCAGTTTGGCTAGCATATATAAAGTATATTAAAAAATGTATTAATTATAGCCAGAGTTTATCTGTAGTTTACAGAAAGTTGTGTTATTGAGTCGTATTCTGGCTTTTATTATTATTATTATTTTTTGGCAGCTGGTTGGTACAGGGATCGAACCAGGACCTTGGTGGTGTTATCATCACACTCTAACCAATTGAGCTAACCAACCAACCCTTATTCTGGCTTTTACCTTAGAAATTAACATATAGGAAATTTAATAATTTTGAGTTTTGTTCTTGATTTGTAAAAAGAATTGCTGGGTGCCTTTTAACTTTATGTCAACATACTTTTTGTCTTCTGTTATAATTTAATTTGTGATACCTTAGTTATATTTTCATTTATTTAAAATATTTTGCTTTAGTGGACTTGTGAAAAATAATTTGACAGAAAAAATGTTCAGAACTGTTTGCACATGTTACATGTTTTTGAGAGTTCATGTAGTGTTTCTTGGTAGAAAGTATACCAAACTGATAGAAGACCTGAATTGCAGGTAATCACTCTTGTTACCTGTCAGTAACTTGTTATGGTAACTGTGGGGAAGTAATGTCATCACTATTGGTTGGTCACAGTTTTCTTCGGATCAAAATCATGGATGCAGTCGCCACTGCGCAGACTTGTTTTTAGTGTAAAATGAGGTGATCATGTGAAAGCTCTTTGATAACATTGTATTATAGGTTTGGAAAAGATTTTTAAAAATCTTTGTCTTGCTTATATCCCTGTAATTCAATATTGTTGTCGCAAAGTAGACATAGTTATATATTTATTAACTGAATAAATATATTTTATTGTACATTATTTTGAGTGAACGTTTTAAAAAGATAATTGAAGATGTTTAGTTATTGCTTAGAATTGAATGGTTGGTTGCCATAAGTAAACAAATATCCTTAAAAAATTATTAACAGTATTATTAGGAAAATACGCCATTCTTTCTTATTTTTTTATTCCCATAATGGATACTTTTTGGGTAGTATTGATTCTTGTTCTGTTTGGAGTTGAAACTTGATCTCAACAACAACTGCCAAAAAATGTCAAGAAAAAAATGATAATTTTAATGTGTTCTATTCTTGCAATTAATGGAGGTCTATAGGAAATGTGCTTTAATAAATAGGGAAGAGTATTTATTATAATTTTAATTATTTATGTATAGGTGCTTCATAATGATTAAATTCAGTTTTGTTTTTAAGATGACTTAATACCGTTCTCTCTGTTGTCTTCCAGTAGTTGTTTGCTTAGCCTATTCTTCATTACTTATCTAAAGCTGCATCTTTGTTCCTTTATTCATCCACTTGTTCATTTATTCCATATTTGAGCATCTTATAAGTGGCCAGGCACTGTCAAATTACTTTACTAAATTATAATGTGATTGAATAAGCACGAGATGTGAAATGTTTTGTAAATTGTAAAATGACATTCAAATGCAATTATTATCATCAAATTCTCAAGTAGTCAGTTCTGAATGAAGATACCTTTAGTGTTACCACTTTATGTAAATTCTAAATTGAATCTGCCAAGAATTTTGTGTGAACTTTTTATAAGAATGGGAAAAAATAGATTATCCAGCAATGAAATGTTTTAGTGCAGTAGGCTTAAAAGAAAAAATTTTATCTGCTATAGCTCACTGGATAGAACACATTTCTAGAGAAGTTAGGATTGTAGGAGATAAAGTTTGCTCTACCCTAGGAAACAGATGACAAAGTTCTAGCTCATCTTGGGAGATTAGTGTTTTTAGTAACATGGAAAACTGAGTATAGATGACTTGGTGCCAAGAGCGTCATCACTGTAGGAAAATTAAATCAAAGAACATGGTTTACTGTTTACGAGTCAGTAGCATTGTTTTTATACACAGAAGGCAGCATTTATTTCTAATGTTTTGATCATAGATCTAGATTGTAACGTTTTAGCCAATAGAAATGCAGGAGCAATTTTTAAAGCTGAAAATTATGAGTAGAATTTGTTAACAGTTTAAGATTCAAAGTGATAAAGCCACTTCTATGATCCTTGGGTTCACTGGCCCTGACGAGATTACAAATTTTGTCCTATTGATTTAACATACATTTTAATCTTAAATATGTAAAATTGGTAAGTTTCTATCTGAAAAATTTAGTTTTTAGAAAACTGGATATTTCAGTGTATTCTGTACTGAAGAGGCAGTGCGAGCGGAAAGAGCATGTGCCTGGTTGTCTGGTCTTGGATCTGCCGTATAGTGGCTGTGTGATCTTAGGCAAGTCACTCATCTCTGGCCTGTTTCTGCAACTGTAAAATGCAGGTCCTTTCAGCTTTAGGAGTCTGATAAGAAGATGTCCACTTTAAAAAAACAGAATCAATATTGAAAATACTTTTGTTTTTCTAGTGTTCTTTATAAGGACATTACAGTGCAAATTACTTTACTAGAAAAGTGTGTATTTTATACATGTTTATTGGATGTGCATTTTTTGTTATTACTAGTTGTTATTACCTTGATCTGTCTTTCATTTCCACTCCAAAGAATAGTAAGGTATGAATTCACTTTTACCCAGAGTATATATAGTCAGAAACCAAGAATGATCTTAATAGATGTGGGGTCCCTTGCTACAAGTACTACCAAAGAGAAGGGCTACCCTGCAGCTCTTACGAAGTCGTCGTTTTGCACCAGTGTTGCTCAGTATTTAACTCATAATTCTTTATGTAGTGTAAGGAGTTAGCTTTTTAAATTATCTAGATCTGTATTAGGTAGCCAGTTGACGATGTTGGGTTCTTCACGTATCAGTCACATTAAAATGATGTTTGGATTCTTTACTGAATTCTTTTTTTGGGAGGGGGCTGTTTTTAATGATGAAATGGGTCTTATCTTGAGTTATGTGGCCATTTCCTATGGCAGTAATAAGTTTGAGCTTTGCTGAGATAAATAAGGTTATACAAATTTCCTTATTTTAGAACCTTAAGTGTGCTAATGGTGATGTTTCAAGAGAAGGACATGGTTTGTAGAATTTCTTAAACTTATTTGACCAAAGAATCTTTTTCTTTTTTGTTTTTCATTATCTTATTTTTTCCCAGAATTTCTCTAGTTTAGTATTCTATCAAACAAACATATTTTGGGAATGTACACCCAGATTCTGATATACCCTTTTGATTCTGAACGGTAGCAGATCCAATGATGATGATTTAAAGGCGTCTTGGCTTACCCTGTAGTTATTACCCTTGGCCCCATGGCACATGAGGAGGTGGGCTTGTTGTATACACAGCCCCACACAGCCTTTTGTCAGGCTGCTGAGTAGGACTGTTTAGAGAATAGTTGAGACAATAGTATGGCTGTGTAGTCCATCCATTTTTCCATTTTTTTAGCTATCTAAAATTTATGCCTGTTTTTTTTTTTTTTTTTTTTCAAAAGATGACTGGTAAGGGGATCTTAACCCTTGACTTGGTGTTGTCAGCACCACGCTCAGCCAGTGAGCGAACCGGCCATCCCTATATAGGATCCGAACCCGTGGCCTTGGTGTTATCAGCACCGCACTCTACCGAGTGAGCCACGGGCCGGCCCTTAAAATTTATGCCTGTTGTCCTGGACCACATAACACTGGTGTACTCATACCACGTTTTTTAGTCCCTTTCTGTGGAAATACTTTGACTCAGTTTTATGTTGGCATTTTCCTTTTTAGGTTGAGAGGGACAATACGAAATCGCCCTGTAAAACTCATTGCTACGTATGTTTTTGAGGACTGCAAGGTGTCTTGTGAAGACCCGTGGGATACGTTTCTGATTTTTGTCCCAGGAAGAGTTGTACTCCTTTTGAGCATCTTACTTTTTTTCTTTTTTTTTTAAATTATGGATATTGTAAATATTGAAACCTGTTGTGTTTTCTTTTTTGCATTGTCTTCCGGAATAGTTCATCTTTCATAAATATGTCGACTTTTATTCTGGCTTCTTTTTATCTTAAGGCAGTATAGGTTTGGAATTAAGAATGCAGGCTTTGGAGTCAGCCTGGGTTCGGATCTTGGTTCTATCATTTATTAGCTGTGTTGAAATTGGGCAGGCTGCTTAATCTCTGTAAGCCTCAGTTTCCCCATTTGTGAAATGGAGGTACTAATACCATCATCGGGTGTTTGTGAAGATTACCTGAGATGTAAGTGTCTGTAACAGTTCTTGGCACATCTTGATTACTCAGTAATTTTTCTTTCATATTCCCATTGTTTTACTTTCTTTGTCTACTTTAAAAAATAATTGATTTTATATTATGTATTTATTGTAATCTACCTAAAATATTTCTGGGAACAAGTCAGAGTAAGAATACATAAATGTCGGTTTCTTGGCACATTGTATTTTAAATAAAGTACAGCAACTAAAAATGTCACAATTGTTTTGCTATAACTATTTCAGAAATTACAGGGATTTAGGACACTTAACTTTCATCTTCCCTCTCGTAGATGCGACAGTGGTTTTCTTAAGACGTTTTTTGTTGTAACCTCTTAGGTTAAAAGTTTCACTAGCATTTGAAATCTGTCACAAGACCGGGGAAGTGTATTCATTATAGAACTATTTAATAAATAAGTTCCCCAGTTTGAAGAGCTAGACTTTTATGTGAGGTCAGGCCAGTTGAAGACATTTACAAAGAATTGGTTGTTTGTTATTGCTATGTGAGTTGCAAGAATGGAAAAAAAAAGAAATTCTTTCTTCAATACTTCCTTCCAGGCTGAGTCATCACTACAGAGTGGGAAGGGCAGCAACAGCAGAGAATCCAAACCCTAAAGCTGATATCACAAAGTACCATTTCTCCAAGTTGGGGGCTCGGAGGGGAGGCACCATGAGCGATGTTACCATTGTGAAAGAAGGTTGGGTTCAGAAGAGGGGTAAGTGCTCAACAAAACCGAAAATCATGTGGTCAGTGAGAGTGCTCAACACTGTGTGTGTCTTGGAAGTTGATCTTTTTTCTGATGCTGTTAAACTGTGACATGCTGTGTCTAGGAGGAGAGAAATATTTAGTATGTGTGTTAGGAATTTGCTTGTGATTTAGGGATTTCTTTGTAATTCTTGATTTTGATTGTTTATAATCTAGTTATGAAGTTAGGTTTGACTTTCTGCTATGCTGTGTGCATATATGTTCCAGAAAGTGTGGTTTTCTATGACATCCACAGTTCTACAATCTAGAGAGATATCTTTAGAATCATTTAATATCTAGAAAAGTTCTATCTTATATGCATTTAATGACATGTAAATATGTAAATAAAAGTATTCAATTAACCTATTTAAATAGTGGCAGGGGAAGGGTTTAAAGTTGTAAAGGGGGAAGAAATCACCCACAAACTCACGGATTAAACAGTCCCATAAATTAGGTAAGTAAAGTTCTAAAGTAAAAGGCCAAATGAGGACAAGGATTTTTTGTGTTCATGTTTATGTCTAATTTGCTATTTTTACTTTTTGTTAACTACTTTAAGTATTTTTTGTTTATTCCTATTTTAGATACATAACTTATATGAATTATTATTTTTTATTAAAAAAGGAAGAGCTCTTCAATGTGTAAAGCTTAGTTTATCATCTGTGAGATCACCTGCTAATGTAGTCAATGTGTTCATTAGAAATGTAGAATTTAGACTAGTTGCCAGGCAACTGCTGTTTACCCACATGGCCAAGTTGAGTAGGATGAGGACTGTTCCATTCTCAGGACTTTTTAGTTCCTGTATATCTGTTTTTTGGCTAAAAGTTTCCTCTTAAATATTGATTTTAATATTCTTTGAAGGTCTGTAGTTCATACCTCTGCTGAAAAGCTGTTGTCAGTTGGGTAATTGTGATTATGCATCGTTGAGTTTTAAAATCATCCTTATGGAGTTATAATTCACATATAACATTAAACAATTTTAAGCTACAAGTTGATGAGTTTTGCCAAATGTATACAGTGTGGAACAAACACTGTGTTCATGATATAGAACATTTCCATCACCCCCAAAAATTCCTTTGTGCCTCTTTGCAGTTTAGTCCTCGTCCCTCAACCTGGCAACTGCTAATCTGCTGTCTGCTACTGTAAATTTGCTTTTCTGTGTGTCTTGGAAGTTGATCTTTTTTCTGATGCTGTTAAACTGTGACATGCTGTGTCTAGGAGGAGAGAAATATTTAGTATGTGTGTTAGGAATTTGCTTGTGATTTAGGGATTTCTTTGTAATTCTTGATTTTGATTGTTTATAATCTAGTTATGAAGTTAGGTTTGACTTTCTGCTATGCTGTGTGCATGTATGTTCCAGAAAGTGTGGTTTTCTATGACATCCACAGTTCTACAATCTAGAGAGATATCTTTAGAATCATTTAATATCTAGAAAAGTTCTATCTTATATGCATTTAATGACATGTAAATATGTAAATAAAAGTATTCAATTAACCTATTTAAATAGTGGCAGGGGAAGGGTTTAAAGTTGTAAAGGGGGAAGAAATCACCCACAAACTCACGGATTAAACAGTCCCATAAATTAGGTAAGTAAAGTTCTAAAGTAAAAGGCCAAATGAGGACAAGGATTTTTTGTGTTCATGTTTATGTCTAATTTGCTATTTTTACTTTTTGTTAACTACTTTAAGTATTTTTTGTTTATTCCTATTTTAGATACATAACTTATATGAATTATTATTTTTTATTAAAAAAGGAAGAGCTCTTCAATGTGTAAAGCTTAGTTTATCATCTGTGAGATCACCTGCTAATGTAGTCAATGTGTTCATTAGAAATGTAGAATTTAGACTAGTTGCCAGGCAACTGCTGTTTACCCACATGGCCAAGTNATTAGAAATGTAGAATTTAGACTAGTTGCCAGGCAACTGCTGTTTACCCACATGGCCAAGTTGAGTAGGATGAGGACTGTTCCATTCTCAGGACTTTTTAGTTCCTGTATATCTGTTTTTTGGCTAAAAGTTTCCTCTTAAATATTGATTTTAATATTCTTTGAAGGTCTGTAGTTCATACCTCTGCTGAAAAGCTGTTGTCAGTTGGGTAATTGTGATTATGCATCGTTGAGTTTTAAAATCATCCTTATGGAGTTATAATTCACATATAACATTAAACAATTTTAAGCTACAAGTTGATGAGTTTTGCCAAATGTATACAGTGTGGAACAAACACTGTGTTCATGATATAGAACATTTCCATCACCCCCAAAAATTCCTTTGTGCCTCTTTGCAGTTTAGTCCTCGTCCCTCAACCTGGCAACTGCTAATCTGCTGTCTGCTACTGTAAATTTGCTTTTCTAGAATTTCATATAAATGGAATCATGCAATACATAGTCTTTTTTGTCTGGTTTCTTCCATGTAGCATAATATTTTTGAGGTTCATCTATGTTGTTGGGTACATCTCTAGTATGTTCTTCTTTATTGTTGGGTAGTAGTCCTTGATCTGGATAAATCACAATTTGTTTATTTGTTCAGCAGTGAATGGACATTTGAGCTGTTTCTAGTTTTTGGCTGTTATGAGTAAAGCTATTATGCACATTTGAGTGTACGTCTTCATGTGGTATGTTTTCATTTGTCCTGGGTAATAACCTGGGAATGAGATCGCAGGGTCATATGGTAAGTGTATATTTAACATTATAAGAAGTATGTGTTTAACTTTATAAAAACTGCCAAAATGTTTTCCAAAGTGGGCAACCATTTGCATTGTGAAGTTTAATTTCTTTCATGTTATTCTCATATCATTAATTTGGAAAGCATTTTCAAATTTTAGTGCTTTATGAAGGTTTTTTTTTTTGTTTATTTTTTGACTTGGCTTATTATGTTTATATTATTTTTCCTACTTTGTTTTCTGGGGGAGATGGCAAATCACTTAAACCTTTTGGAGTTTTACTTTACTGATTTCTAAAGTCTGCTCTCACAAGATTGTTGTGAGAATTAACTGAGATAGATGTGGATGTGACAGTTCTAACACAGATGTAAGCTACTTCAATCCCCACATGTTTTCAAAAGTTCAGGGTGGTTCTAGAGTCTGTTTAATTAATTCTGTCTTGTCTGAAATACCATAATAGAAGATTACTATTTAGTGCATGGAATGTAGAAAAAAGAAAAAGCGAATAAGAATTTCTCAGTGTTTTTCCTGTAAGGGTCAGGGAAGGGGGATTTTAGTGATTGTATGTGTGTGTTGTATGTAAATTTTTTTGTTTTTTGTTTGTTTTTTGTTTTTTTTTTTAAAGATGACCGGTAAGGGAATCTTAACCCTTGACTTGGTGTTG